ACAATACAGTGAAAGAAGATGAAGGTTTCCTAAGTATACTCTATGGGAAAGGTGCTGTGGTTGACAAGTTCTCTATTTTTTTAATGTCTATAATAACATCGTGAGGTGGAATTTTCTTCTCAATTTTAAAGATGAAGAATCTAAGTCTCAGAGAGACACTCAGACTGTAAGTGGTGATCTGACATTTGAACGGGTTTGTTTTTTTTGTTTGTTTGTTTTGTTTTGTTTTTCTGATTCCACACCCATGCTCTTTGACATACATTGCGTTGCCTGCAGATGGCCTGTCCATTTCAGTGTTAGGTTATTTACTTGACTTTCACTGAATAATGCTGAAGGGGTTTGAGAAATTTAAATGTTCTTACATCAGATGTTCTATCTCCTGAACCAAGCATTTCATTTTATTTTTAGTCTACTAGAACTCAGTAAACTTAATATATCCTTCCATTATTATTGAGGGCTCCCAAAAACAACTTCAGCATTTTGTATCTGTTTAAAATGTTTGCTTGTCCACATATCAAATGACAATCTAATCAAGATGATACAGTACACAGTTAACCAAATAATTAGAATAGTCATAAAACATTAAATAAAGGTACTAATACATGAATGTGTTGGTCTGAAAATATGGAGAGTATTTGGCTAATATTTGGAAAACATAAATTGTATATTGGTATCACCTCAAATTTTACCTATTCAAAAGAGATATTCTAATAATTCATAAAATGAAAATCCAAATATTTAAGGTGAAATTTGGTAAAAAAAATGTACATATTTATGTAGTAAATTTGTATTCAGGTTATCATCATTATAAATAGAATATGAATAGTAGAATAGATATGAATCTAGGTATTTCTCAAAGATTCCTTCATATCTACAATATCACATATAGATGAGATTGTATAATATTATTCAGATGAGGTAGTTCTATAAATTCCAGAAAGGAGAAAATAATAGTTTTTTGTTGTTGTTGTTGTTGTTTGGTTTTTGGGTTTTTGGGGTTTTTTTTTTTGCCTCATACAATGACATTTAGATTTTGGTCAGACAGGTAACTAAATAAGTAGAAGCTTGTAGACTTAAAGTTGTAAATATATTAGATGTTTATTTGAATTTAGAATAGGGATATTTTGTTAAGAAGGATCTTATAAAAATAAACAAACAAACAGCAGAACACCATAATGGGAGTGATTAATAAAGCCACAGCCACGTGCAAGTGACCTTAACAAAGGAAGTAATGAATTCTCTCCAGCTCTGCAGTCCTCTGGTTCAGTACTGTCATTCTCAATGGCCTCAAGAAGGTTACATGCCTGATGGACACATTGATGGAAATATGGTCTCTCCCCTGACCAGAAAAGGATTACCCAGCCTAACACAGCACCTAGGGATTGCCAAGACAAGTTCCTTACTCCCTTTTAGATTGTGCAGCGTATCTCTAGCCTAGGGACCTGCCTCTTCTCCACTCTGTCCACCTCACTGACAATGAACCAGGGAAATGTGAGTAGCAGCAGTAGCCAGAAAAATATGTTTATGTTTCTTGTCTTCGGGCACAACCAAAATGAAAGTCTCTAAGTAAGATCTATAGTAATAACTATAGTCCAAGCAATAGCTTTTGGTGACCATCAAGCTGATTAATAAGAATGTGTGGAAGTTAATTTATATCTTTGATAAGTGGCATCCAACCATTAATCCTTATATATGACAGCCTCAAGTTAAACAAACATACCTTTTCACAAAGATAGAGTTTACAGGCAACAAATGTAATAAAAAAAAGTCATATTATTCTAGGGTCAACACTGCAAAAAAGATTTCAGGAAAAACAAAAATGTTACATATATATTAAATATATATATGAATTCATAATCTCAAAATTATTTGTTACAACCTGCATACTTCCTATCTTACAAGTAGTACTTGTTATTTATCTTGTTGAAAGTGTTTAAAAATAAAATTTTGCTTAGAAGGAAAAATTGACCATGATTATTATTGTCCCTGTTATGGTTTACCACTATGCAAAGTTGGTACCAGACCAAATGGCAACACAGAAGAAAGTTTACTCCCAGCATCTTGCTAACCTCCAAGCTCTTTAATACCCACACGTTTTCATCTAGGCACCTAGTATGCTCTTTTCATTCTCATCTCAACCTAAGGAGTATTTCTCATCATTCAATCACAAATTCACCTGTTCTCTGTCCCATTCCTTCCCTTCCCTCCAGGAGATGATAAGTGGATGAAAATTATTTAGATCAAGTAAGTGAAGAGGTTAACTAGATATCATGCTGTTGGTTCTTGGTAACATATCTTTAATTAAAAACAGACTGTTTCTTAAACTTTTGTGGCCATCAGAATCATGGGGGGGGGATCCTTAAAATACATATTGATGGGCCCTACCACAAGAGTTTCTGGTCCATTAGGTCTCAGATAAAGCCCCAAAATTCGCATTTCTAACAATACCCAGGTGATGCTGATGCAGTTGGTTCTTTAAGAATGGTTCTTTATTTTATTTTATTTTATTTTTTATTTTCAAGAACCAAGTTAAAATTTTAATTCACTAGACAGTGAAGTAGTGAGATATTTGGCTACTCAGCAGGTTTTCTATTTCCCTTCATATTATATAAGACAGCCCTAAAATTAGGGCCAACCCTGGAGCCCTACACTTAATATAACCCTAAAACTGTTTTAAATTTTTATCAACTTGCTTTGTATAACACATAAACAAACAAGATAGAAAAATTATCTTTCCAAAACACAAAAACAGTCTTACCTGAAGTGAATTGCAATGTTTGCTGGTTACTTTACTAGGTTACCTAGAACACTCAATTCTTTAAGATACAACTATAGAGCAAATTTCTTCCCCAATTCCTCTTTATATGAACAGTGAGGTGTCTCCTACCCTTCCTCATATATTCTTACACACAAACAGAATCATGCTTATCGTGTGACTTTCGATCTTCAAAACTAGAGTTACACTACTGATTTCAATTACCTAGAGTAAGATCAATGATGCTGGACTGATGTTCACATGTAATTCTCAGCCACCTAATAAATATATTAAGATATCTGGACAATTTCCAAGTTGTCTAAATTTTCCACCATTTATTTTTACTTTTCTTTATATTCAAAAAGAAATTAATAACTCTTGAACAAACACATTTTTTGTTCTGAACAATCAACTCATTCTCTTAGCCACTTATTAGTTACTCACTTCTACTTACTTTACACACACACAAATATTATAAGACTTTCTGGCAGAACATGGCATAATGTTCTTGAAATAACAGTGCTGTATTTTGGTATGACACAAACTGTCACAATCAAAAGCAATCATGGTGTGAGCTCACTCAATAAATAAGGTATGTTTAAATGTGGCATAATTTTGATTAAATAACTTAAAAAATATTGGAGTAGTACTAATGTTAAATGTAAAAATAAATAAGATAGCTCTTTAAAGATTGATTTTCTGGATGAAAAGGTTGTTCAAATAGCACATATTATGGAATAATAACTCAAGTATTATAAAAAGTTTAAAAAGAAATGTATTGATTTTTTCTTTAAATAGAGGAAAATCATTTAATAAACCATAATTATTCCTATGCAAGTTTTAACTGGATTATATTATTTTTAGACTCTTAACTTCAATCATTCAATTTCTCTCCATCCATTCCATTTCTAAAATTCTTCTTCCTATCATTATTTCCATGCAAGTAGCAATTTAGTCAAAAACCCTACTCTTCAATAAGGAAACTATCTTTGAAAGGAAAGAACAAAAAAAGTAAAATGTTAATGAAGGAATCTATAAATTCTGAATAATTTGCATTTACCATTATGCCATCAGTTCTATAGCAATCATGTCCAAAATAAATAACATAATCAGTATTCCTTTCTTCATCCAAAGTATCCAATTTTAGTTTACATGTCTGGCTAACTATGAAGCTATTTCTAACTTAAAATATTTTATATCCACTATGAATTAAAGAAACAAAAATCTTAGTAACCTGACAATATCAATGTTATTTTTACTTAGTATTTTGAGGCAATACCTCTAAAAATTGTAATTTTTTAATGTCAAGAAACATTACCACTGAGTGGACTCAAACACACATAAAATCACTATGTATTTTGATGCAAAATATAGATCATATTAATGTAGGTTAAATTAATAGTTTAAACTCCTTTATCCCACTGTGAGATGATAATTAATTACTAATTAGCACTACTTGACTACAGGCACACATAGCAAAACTCATGATTTGAAACCTTATACCAAACCTCCTACCAAACCTCCTACGATAGCCTGTGTGAGCTATGAACAATATGGACTGAAAGGGTACCTGCAGGAGTACCAGGACCAGCTTACAAAACAAATTCCTACAAAGTGTTGTGTTTTCTTGTTTTTTGCAGCAAGGTAATAAGTTTAGGTTGTTAGCAATTCCTTTTTCCAATCTTAGGGGAAAAATCACTGATGATATTGAAACATTCTGAGAAAGAATTTCTGATGGCATTTAGTGAATTACTGAATAAAATAAATCAAAACTAAATTAGTAAATCAAGGTACATTTTCCAAAAATAAGGGACTGTGCAAAAAACTAGATTAGTGGAACTAGACATAAAGACTTGTGTATTTACTGAGCTCTAACAAGGGTAAAGGTGGTGGTGTTATTTATTGCAGAGATTTGATGATGTGGTCCACTGTTCACCTGAGACCATTCTTAAACCTGCTTCCTATCTCAGTTTTCAGTCACTGAGCATTTCCTTAGAGTGTACTTCTGTTCAGCTGAGATACAGTATTACGGTATTTTTCAGACTGCACTTACAATATCTGTAAATAAAAGCAAGGGCCTCACAAGGCATTATTTCCCATAAAACGAATAAAGACTAGATATTTAAATGCTTTATAGTGTTCCTCAGTATAACACATACTACAGTAACCTTACACACATATGTGTATGTTTATTGCATTAAATTGATAATGAGAGCATATTTGCAATTTTGTATATTTTTCTTACCTGTCAAGTTCTTCAGTCCAAGTTCCTGAAGTCCAAAGTTCCCATCTTTTCTGTAGTTTAAAAATACTGCCAAGGCATATCGATCCTCATAAAGTTTTGTCCCACGGATAATGCGTAAATTCTCCAGAGGCAGGTAGCGAAACTGATTAAGAGCCACTAACACGTAGCCTGTGACTTCTCGAATAGACTGAAAAGAAACAAACAATTGCCTTTGTTAAAAAAATTAGAAATTATTTTTCAGTACACTAATTTCCACATTATATTGTAAATAATTACCTTGATAATACAAGAACACAAAAGGTTAGAATCTCATTTGAAGTATGAGCTGTACTCTTTAAAAAAGTCATGAATGTACTTATAGTAAAATAATGGATTTTGTTTTATAAAACATTCACCATACCTGGGATTTAAATATAATTAAAGGAATAAATATGTCATCCTTTGACAGACGAAAATGAGGTAAGAACACCTAGCCATCAACCAAAATTTTTATAAAACAAATTCATAAGCTTATCGCAAATAAAACAAAGCTGCATGGGTTTGTAGACTATGGAATGTATTTTAAACTGCTATATCGATGTTTAATGCTATCATTATCAGAGACAGTTAACTTGTATGTCTCTGGGAAACACAAATATAAACAATATGTATTAAAGACTGATAATGATCTCTAATTTAATTACAACCACAATTTTTTGCAAGATTTTGTTTATTTGAGAGCAGAGAGAGAAAGAGCAAGAGCATGAGTGGGGGAGGGGGAGGAGGTGGGAGAAGCAGAGTCTCCGCTGAGCAGGGAGCCCGATGATGCAGAGCTCTGTCCCAGGCGCCCCTACAACCACAATTTTATTTTGACTATGTATTGTTTAATATAGTATAAGTTAATTACTTGAAAGTTTGTAGTACATTTTAAAGCAAAAAAAGTCACAAAAAAAGCCCTTAGGTTTCATTTAAAGTTACGGTTCTTCAGTAAAATAAGCAAGATTGTGACAGCTATGAATATATGTATTAAGGTTTTAAAAAATTAAATATAAAAAATAAAATTTATATATGTATATATGTGTGTGTGTGTATATATATATATATATATAATATAGAAGTGGTAAAATATTTGATGTTATTTTAATGTCAATTTCATGCCAGTATAGACCTCTTAATTGTGATTTCCCAGTGCTCAGTCTTTGGTACTCTCTTTTCTATCCACTCTCATTTCCTTGGTGACCTTATCCAGTTTTAGGTTGATGATCTCCAAACTTTTACCTCCAACCTGTCCCCTAAACTCTAGACTCCTATCCAACTGCCTACCCCACATCTTCACCTGAACGCCTAATAGACTTTTCAGATATACCTATCCAAATCAGCTTCCTTGTCCCAACCTTCTAACAGCCATTCTCATCTCAAGTTGAGGTCAACCCAGCCTTCCTATTATTTAGGCCCAAGTCTTGGGTCATTCTTGACTCCCCTTTCATCATACACTAAATGTAATCTGTCCTATTTTTTCTACCTTTAAAATGATCAGGAATTCAACCACCTCTTATGGCAACCACTGCTATCATCTGAGCCATCATCATTCCTTTATCAAGATTACTGCAATAGGTCTCCCTGTTCCCTGCAATAGGTCCCTACTTCTTTTGATCCTTTATCATGTATTTTCAGTTAAGGCAGGACCCGATTTTTTTTTTTTTTTTAAGTAGGCTTCATGCCCAGCATGGAGCCCAGCTGAATGGATTACCCTGAGATGAAGACCTGAGCCGAGATGAAGAGTTGGATGCTTAACCCACTGAGCCCCCCAGGGCCCCAGACCTGATTGTTTTTAAACATAAATCAAATCAAGACACTTCAATTCTTAAAATCCTGAAACATCTCCCTAGTCACTCAAAGTAATAGACAAAATTCTTTCACTGATGAGTCAAAATCTATCTGTTCTGCCCAGTGCAGCAACAACTAACTAGATGTAGCTACTGAACAACTGAAATATAGCTGGTATGAATTGAGATAAAATACACTCTTGATTTCAAAGATTCCATGTTGAAATGATAACATTTTAGATAAATTGAGGTATATAAAATGGATTATTAAGGTTAATTTTTAACATTTTTTACGTTTTTATTATGGCTACATGGAAATTTAAAATAATATTTTTATGGCTATCACTATATTTCTGTTGCACAGTACGATACTATATGGTCTGGTCATCAGTTCTTTTTGTAACTTCTTTTTTTAACCCTCTTCCTTTCTTGCTCTAGTCCAGTTTTTTGTTTCTTTTTTAAGATTTATTTATTTATTTATTTTGAGAGAGTGAGAATGAGAGAGAGAGAGAGAGACTACATGAGAGCGGGGAGGGTCAGAGGGAGAAGCAGGCCCCTCGCTGAGCAGGGAGCCCGATGCGGGACTCGATCCCGGGACTCCAGGATCATGACCTGAGCCGAAGGCAGTTGCTTAACCAACTGAGCCACCCAGGCGCCCTCGCTCTATTCCAGTTTTGCTGGTTTCCTTGTTCTTCTAACATTCTAAGTGTGGTCCTACCTCGAGGTGTTTACTATACTCTTAAAGGCCTGAGTTTCTTTCCCTTTTGTTCTCTTTTTGGCTAATTTCCTCACTGCCTTCAAGTTTTTTCTCAAATCTCTCAAACCTCAGTTGAAGCCAATGCTGACTAACAGTTCTCCCACCTTTTCCTGCTCTAACTTTTATTGTCTCTATAGTACTTCTCACCTTTAAATTTACTATATAGTATATATATTTATTACATTTAGTATTTATAGTCTGTCTCTCCCTTTCTCAGAATATAAGCTCTGCAAGGGCAAGCACTTTAATTTGTTCATTCATGTCTCATGTAACTACAACAGTACAGGCACATAGTGAAAAACCAATAAATATTTGCTGAGCACTCTGGCTTTTCTCTGGCCATATCTTCACCAATAGGCAAAGTCTACAGAGTCAAGAAAAATACCCATCTGGAACCTGCATTCCTTTTCTCTAGAGAAGACCAATGCTCCAGATCCCTGTGATCCCAGAATTTCATTCCCAAATTGCCCCAATCCCTCATCTAGAGCCTGTGATATCATCTTTCCAATTCTGTCCCCCAGTCAGCAGACTATGCGACCAACATGCATACACCTAGCAAGGATGGGTGGTTCAGGTGCAGATGTTTTAGTGGAGAGTGTATGGATGGCTAGATGTACAGCCTAAGTGTCACTCTGCTCAAAGCTTCCTATGACACTGGACAGAACTGGTTAAAGGAGGGGCTGAAGGCTGGAGTCCATCCCTCTCCATGCCATCATACTACTGAGGAGTTCAAAAATTCTAACATTTCACCCAGCCATCCAAGTTGTTATAAAGATATTTCTGTCAAAGTGGGAGGATAGATCATATTTTAATAATAATTATTATATTTATAATAAAGAATAATGACACAAAATATGTAGACCTTCATTTATACTCTCATCCCAGGTCCCCCAATTCTTAGGAATGAACCTGCTAACACTAATCACCTAGAAAAATAGAATCCTAATGGAGCAAAGAGTCCATTAAATGGATGAAAGGTCCAAAATGGATGAAGGGTCAAGGAACCTATGAAGCTATTCATGTCTGGCACTGGATTGGGAACTCTAAGCCACTCTAAGCATTCCTGGGACACTGAGAATTGTGGATTAAAGAGATGAATTCTTAGGGTGATAGAAAAAAGAGGTGAAAGGTCAACAGTAGCATGCATTGTTTGTATACCACATGTGTTTGAAATTGCACTTGCCTGGAATAGTCTATCCCTAGAGCCCTACAAATCCTCCTTCAATCACTGTTTCAATGGTTGAACTCTAATCCCTTTGTGTCCTTAGAAGAGAGATCAAAAACATTTTCCAATATCATTTGGTCTAACAAGTAAAATTTTTTCATTCACTATAAAGGTAATTTATCCTTTAACTTGTATACAATAATTACCAAGTGCTCTAAAGTACAATGATACACAAAGATAAACATTGGGGATGGAGGATATATTATCAATATTTTGTCTAGAGCATGTCATAGTATCCATTCTTCCTAACACACTCACCATTAGTTCCATTTTCACTTGGGAACTGACTCTAATTAGACTCTTAGAATAATGGTAAAAAATGTGGGCTCAACTGCCAAGCAAAGCTGAGCTCAAAACACTTCACACTTACCAGCCTTCACACTTACTGGCTTTGTAGTCTTGTTAAAATTGTTTACCCTCACTGAGGCTCAGTTTCTTTATTTTAAAATAAAAGATAGCAATAACTCTATTAAAAAGATTTTATAAGACACTTATAAAAAGTATCTAGGGAGACCTGGGTGGCTCAGTCAGTTAAGCCTTCAACCCTTGATTTCGGCTCAGGTCATGATCTCAGGCTCATTGAGTCCCTGCCTCAGGCTCCATGTTCAGTGTGAACTTGTCTCTCTCCCTCTGCTCCTTCCCCTGCTCTCTCTCTCTTGCTCTCTCAAATAAATAAAATCTTTAAAAAAACCCAAAAAGCTAAAGAAAAGCGTCTGGCAAACAGTAAGTGTTCAATAGATGCTATCTATTACAAATATTATTATTTCTGGTAACAGCCAAAACTATCTGTAAACAATCTGATTTGAAAATAAAAATAATTATAACTTTATTACAGAGGAACCATTGGCTTTAATCTTTGTTATGTAACCTTTATATCTTTTTTTTTAAGATTTTATTTATTTTATTTATTTGAGACAGAGAGAGAGAGAACATGAGCAAGGGGGAGAGAGGCAGAGGGAGAGGGAGAGTGAGACGCAGACTCCCCCCTGAGCAGGGAGCCCGATCTGGGGCTTGATCCCAGGACCCTGCGATCAGGACCTGAGCTGAAGGCAGACACTTAACTGACTGAGCCAACCAGGCGCCCCGCCTTATATCTTTTTTATATCTTGCCTCTTCAACTTGTAATTTATTCTTAAATTACAGAACTGGTTCCTTATACTGTTTCTGTGTATGTTCTAGCCTTTAGTACAGACTCTGGCACTGAACAGACATTCAATAATGGCTGTTGAATGAAGTAGAATTGAAAAGTAGAAAACAATGCTTATGGTCGTTTTAGATATTGTTTTCCATTGAAAATGATTTTATGAACTTTCTGCTAATAAAAACGTTGTTTGAACAACATAATCATGACTTGTGCCCAAGGACCACAGTGGTAAGTAGAAATCACCAGAATGCCCCAA